AAAAAAAAAAAAAAAAAAAAAAATTCTGTTTAGTTAAGTCTTTGTTTCAGCAAGTCTTTTTCTAAGACTTGATGGAATAGTATTAATTTAAAAAAAGATTTTTTTAAGAGATAGGATCTTGCTATATTGCCCAGGCTGGTCATGAATTCCTGGGCTCAGGAAATCTTCCTGCCTCAAACAGATTGGGAATAGATGGAAGGTTGTTAACTAGGGGCAAGGAGGTAAGGAAGTTAGGCTTTGAAAATAGAGGACAAATAGAACTTTTGAAGAGGAACTCACTGTTTCCAACATAGCTCTCAATTCTTTTATTGCATCCTTCAATTTAGTGTATGTTTTTCTGTTCTTCTCTGTTGGCTTTCCTTTCTTCCACTTTCTCTCCTTCACATTTATACTTACAGGCTTCTTAATTAAGTTATCTTAGATCACAACTAGCTCTCTAATCTGTCACACAGGCCAGGTTCTCCTTTACAAAAGCTTTTATGGACTGGGCACAGGGGCTCATGCCTGTAATTTCAGCACTTTGGGAGGCCGAGGCCAGTGGATCACCAGAGGTCAGGAGTTCAAGACCAGTCTGGCCAACATGGCGCAACCTCATCTCTACTAAAAATACAAAAAATTAGATGGGTGTGGTGGTGTGTGCCTGTAGTCCCAGCTACTTGGGAGGCTGAGGCAGGAGGATCACTTGAACCTGGGAGGCAGAGGTTGCAGTGAGCTGAGATCATACCACTGTACTCCTCTAGTCTGGGCAACCGAGTGAGACTATGTGTCAAAAAAAAGAAAAAAATAAATAAAAAGCTTTTATGGAAATAATAGCTTTTAAAAGTGCACTTGATTTTATTTAGATATTGAGATATTATGTGTCCCAGCTGGAAGAAGTTGTTTTTTTGTTTTTTTGTTCGTTTTTGGAGTTGGAGTCTTGCTCTGGCATTCAGGCTGGAATGCAGTGGTGAGATCTCAGCTCTCTGCAACCTCTGCCTTCTGGGTTCAAGCAATTCTTTCACCTCAGCCTCCTGAATAGCTGGGATTACAGGTGTATGCTTTTGTGTTTTTAGTAGAAACAGGGTTTTACTATGTTGGCCAGACTGCTCTTGAACTCCTGATCTCAAGTAACTCACCCACTGTGGCCTTCCAGAGTGCTGGGATTACAGGTGTGAGTGACTGCACCTGGTTTGGAAGAAGTTCTTAAATTCATTTATTTCTTTTAAATTAAGGTTTGAACCTTAAGGTGTAATGCTTCCTAACTTTTATCATAATAATGGCAAATGTGAAAAATGGTATTTGGATGGGATACAGAGGCAACTGAAAAGGTTGCTCAGGCTCTGCCTGTGTGTCTGCCTTGAGGACTAAGGAAAATCCATCTCTCTGCACTGTAGTCTGCTGACCTAACAATTAAAAGCCCTATCCTAAGGGTAGATACACTTAAGCAGAGTGTGAACATGCTAACTTTTATTTTGTATTTGTGTATAGTTTTTCTTAAGAGTTGTAACTTTCGTTAGATTCTCAAAAGGGTCCTTGAGGCAAACAAAGGATACTAATGATGTTTTAAATTGTGGTACTAAACCAAATGTATGGTATAACTTATTTTTTGCTTTTGGTTTAAATTTTTCCATTTGATTATAAAGTTATACATATGTTAGTTACATAAAATTCAAACATTATAGGTAAAATTAATGTAGAAAGTAAAAGTATACCATATCACACTCTCAGTTAATTTCTGCAAAGCTTGGGTATATATTTCTGAAAATATTTTTCTTCTTATATATATTAACATTTCTTTCCCCTTCTCCAGTATTATATTTATAGAAGTGATTAATTGTACTGCTATACAATTCATTTCTCACTTAATTTATCTTAGATATAATTATACTTTAGTGCTTTTTGGTCTACCTCATTTTTAAAAAAATTATTTTGTGTATCTGCCATAGTTTGGTTTACTTTGCTTCTGTGATTAAATGCATGCATTTTAAAACTTTTTAATATTATAAATGGTGGTATAGTGAACATCTTTGTAAGCATATTTAGGAGTATTTCTGTATAATAAATTTGTGGAAAAAGAAATGGTAAGCTAGTGTTACGAACATTCAAAATTTTGATAATTATAGTCAAGTGCCACCAAAAACTCTACCTGTTACTCTTCCATGTGTACATCAAAAATTTCCGAACATGCTTTCAGTGAATTAGTAAAGTTAATTTTTCCTGATCTGCAAGATGAAAAACTGTTTTTACATTATGAAAATTTCCAAACATATGCAAAGGTAAATACAGCAGGACATTGAACCTTCCTGTGCTAGTCACGCAGACTCCACGTTTTTAAAGATTTCAGCCACATTTGCTTCAACTGCTCTTTTTTCCCTTTCGCTGAAGTATTTTAAAGCAACTCCCCCAAATCATGTCATTTCACCCTGACATGTTTCAGTTTTCATCTTTAAAGATTAGGGTTTTTTTTTTTTTCTTTTTAAGATTTTTAGTTTTTTAGTATAGGAAATTTAAAACATATATAAAAGCAGTCAGCACAATGAACTTAACTAGTATGGTCTTTTGTTAGGAAAAAAAATCCTTGGTATTATTTTTGACTGAAAGACAAATTTAACCTTTTTTTTTTATTATTATTTTTTATTTTTTTGAGACGGAGTTTCACTCATGTTACCCAGGTGGGAGTGCAATGGCACGATCTCGGCTCACGCAACCTCCGCCTCCTGGGTTCAGGCAATTCTCCTGCCTCAGCCTCCTGAGTAGCTGGGATTACAGGCACGCACCACCATGCCCAGCTAATTTTTTTTTTTGTATTTTTAGTAGAGATGGGGTTTCACCATGTTGACCAGGATGGTCTCGATCTCTTGACCTCGTGATCCACCCGCCTCGGCCTCCCAAAGTGCTGGGATTACAGGCTTGAGCCACCACGCCCGGCCTTAACCTTCTTTTAAATGAATTCCTTAAACATCAGAAGGGAGTACTTTATTGACTTTAATATTGATACATATTCTGTTTAATGAACATAACATAATGAAACCTCATGTATCTCTTAGTTTCAACAAGTAGCAATTCAGAGCTGCTCTTGGTGTACTCCCATCTACTTCCCTTTATCTCACCAGATTATTTTGAAGCCGGTCCCATATATTAGAACATTTCATCTGTAAATCCCTGCCTCTGTCTAAAAGACAGGGAATTTACTTTTTAAAATTTTTATTTAAGACAAGTCTTACTCTGTTATCCATGCTGAAGTGCAGTGCTGCACTGTCTCGGCTCACTACAAACTCCACCTCCTGAGTTCAAGTGATTCTCTTATCTCAGCCTCCTGAGTAACTGGGATTACAGGTGCACACCACCGTGCTCGGCCAAGTTTTGTGTTTTTAGTAGAAACAGGGCTTTGCCATGTTGGCCAGGCTGGTCTTGAACTCCTGATTCATGTGATCTGCCTGGCTTGGCCTCCCAAAGTACTGAGATTATATGTATGAGCCACTGCACCCGGCCAGGAATTCACTTTTTAGTGATAATCACAGTGCTGTTATTGTCATACCCACATAAAATAATTCTTACAACATCAAATAACCATGAACATTTTCTTATATAACCTCAACATCATCACACTAATAAAATCAACTGTAATAAACTGGTATCCAGTTTATAATCAGCTTTCCCCAGAAAGAAATTTCCTTTTTGAAAGGATAAAAAGTACTTTTCAAAAATTCCTTTCAGAGTTGGTTTATTAGAACTAGTTTACATATTGCATGTGCTTATTGGTTCTCTCAAACCTCTTTTAACCTAGAGTAGCCCTGGTACCCCTTTATTCCCCTCTGTCGCTGACAGGTTACAGAAACTGGGTCAGTTGTCTTGTATAATCCCTCACATTCTACTTTTGTCTATTTGCTTTTTTGTGGTGTCATTTAACGTGTTCCTTTATCTCCCATGCTTCTTGTAAATGGAGGTTAGTTCTGGAGACATGGTGTCATTCAAGTTCAATTTGTTTGATAAAAACATTTCATAAGTCGTGTTGTGTGCTTCACTCACATCATAGTTTCTTTTTTTTTATTTTAAACTTCTAGTGATATTGAGATTGATAGGATTTTTTTTTTTTTTTTTTTTTTTTGAGACAGAGCCTCCCTCTGTCACCTGGGCTGGTGTGCAGTGGCATGATCTCAGCTCACTGCAACCTCTGCCTTCTGAGTTTAAGCGATTCTCCTGCCTCAGCCTTCTGAGTAGCTAGGACTACAGGTGTATGCCACCATACCTGGTTAATTTTTTGTATTTTTTTAGTAGAGATAAGGTTTCACCATCTCTACTAAAAAAAATACAGGCTGGTCTCGAACTCCTGATCTCAAGCAATCTGCCCACCTCAGCCTCCCAAGGTGCTGGGATTAAGGCCTGAGCCACTGCACCTGGCAGATTGATAAGGATGTAATAGTCAGATCTTTTTCTTATATAACTACAATATGATTATCACACCTAATAAAATTAACTGTAATGAACTGTAAGTAACTTTAATGAAAACCTAATGGCTCCATTGCATGGGTCAGTTATTTCACTAGATATCACAAAATGGTTTCTCCAGTTACTCATTTTTTGTTTTAATAAAATTCATTGCTTTGATTATTAGAGAAAACAGGAGCATCTTTTCATTTGTTTATTGGCTATTTGGTACTTGCATTGTGAATTGTTCATGACCTGGTGATTTTTCTACTGAATTGTTTCATTTTTCTTATCCATTTTTGAGAGTTTGTAATCATAGATGTTAATCGATTATCTCTTTTACATATTGTAAATATTTTTTCCAGTTTGTTATTGTCTTCTATGTAGAAGTTTTTGATTTGCATAGTCAGGTTTTTTCTTACTTTTGTGGCTTTTGGTTTTAAGTTTTAACTTAGGCTTTTTATGTTCTGAGATAATATAGGAAAATAGTTAATTTTCTTCCAAGCTCCACTTCTTACATTTGATTTTTAATGTATATGGAATATATTTTGTATATAGTATGAGATAGGAATCAAATTTGCTTCCTGCACTTAAATAATAATAAACTTTTTCCTAAAGTAGTTTATTAAGTCTCTTCCCCACCATAATGAATTGAGATGTCACATGTATCACAAATTTACATATACTTTTTCTGGACTTTATTGTTATTCATTTTAAATTATTTATTTAAATTTTTTTTTGGTAGACTGTGTCTTGGTGTGTTGCCTAGTCTGGTTTTGAATTTCTGGTCTCAAGTGATCCTTCAGCCTTGGCCTCCCAGTGTGCTGGGATTACAGGCATGAACCACCATGCCCAGGCCATTGCGGTCCATTGATGTTAGCACATGACCAGATAATTTTAATTAAAACAGTTTTATACTGTGCTTTAAGGTGCAGTACATTATTACTAATCTTTTATTTTCAGGTTTTTTTAATAGGATTTTTCACACATTTGCTCTTCCTTTTGAACTTTAGAATTAATTTGTGGTTAATTCCATTGGGATGTAAATCTAATGGCATTAAGTTTGGGGGAAAACTGTCTTTTGTTATTAGTATTTTTTGAGACAGAGTCTTACTCTGTTACCCAGGCTGGAGTGCAGTGGTGTGATCTTGGCTCACTGCAACCTCCACCTTCCGAGTTCAAGTGATTCTCCGCCTCAACCTGCCGAGTAGCTGGGACTACAGGCGTATGCCACTACACCCGGCTAATTTTTGTATTTTTGGTAGAGATGGGGTTTTGCCACATTGGCCAGGCTGGTCTTGAACTCCTGACCTCAGATGATCCACTGGCCTCAGCTTCGCAAAGTGCTGGGATTACAGGCGTGAGCCACTGCACCTGGCTGAAACTGTCTTTTAAAAAAATATAAAATTAGCTGGGCATGGTGGTGCGTGCCTGTAATCCCAGCTACTCAGGAGGCTGAGGCAGGAGAATTGCCTGACCCCGGAGGTGGAGGTTGCGGTGAGCCGAGATCACGCCATTGCACTCCAGCCTGGGTAACATGAGTGAAACTCCGTCTCAAAAAAAAAAAAAATTTTATATATATATATATATATATATATATATATATATAAAATTGATTTTTCCATTTAGGAATGTAGTTTTTCCTCTATTTATTCAGCTCTTTTGTATTTTACAGCTTAAATAGATTCTCTTCCCTTCTACTTATTTCTAGGCATTTTACATGTTTAATGTGGTAATTATGTGTTTGGTCACAGAATAACTTACTTGTGATTATTTGGATGTTGACTGTAGAATAGTTTTCTTCAGGGTGGGGTACAGTGGCTCATGCCTGTAATCCCAGCACTTTGGGAGGTCAAGGCTGGAGGATCGCTTGAGGCCAGGAGTTCAACATCGGCCTTGGCAATGTAGCAAGACCCTGTCTCTACAAAAAGTAAAAATAAAAAAGCCAGGCATAGTGGCACGTGCCTGAGGCTGAGGTGGGAGGATTGTTTGAGCCCAGGACTTCCAGGAAGCATGTGGGTGAAAAAGCAAGACCCTGTCTCTAAGGGAAAAAAAAAAAAAAAAAAAAAGAATAGTTCACTTCATTTTTGCTCAAGCATGCCAGTCATACTTGAAAATGAATATAGGCCGGGCACAGTGGCTTATGCCTGTAATCCCAGCACTTTGAGGGGCTGAGGCATGTAGATCACTTGAGGTCAGGAGTTTGAGACCAGCCTGGCCAGCCAACATTGTGAAACCCCATCTCTACTAAAAATTAAAAAAATTAGCTGGCATAGTGGTGCACACCTATAGTCCCAGCCACTCGGGAGGCTGAGGGAGGGAAAATCGCTTGAACCTGGGAGGCAAAGGTTGCAGTGAACTGAGATCCTACCACTGCACTCCAGCCTGGGTGACAGAGCAAGACCCCTTCTCAAAAAAAAAAAAGAAAGAAAAAGTGAATATAAACAAGATTAGAAGGAATGAATACACTTAAGCGTATACACTTTTAAAATAAACTTCAAGTTTTTATGTCACTTACGTATTCATTAATGCAATAAGTTAGAAATTGTGAGGAAAAATGTAAATTCTTTGGAAGTGATCAATAATGTTCTTAATGGTTTAAAAGAGTGGAAGTCATAAAGAGGTACCTGAAAGTAATAAATTTCAGTTAACAAATGTGCCCTCTAATGAGATTTTTCTTTTTGTGTTGTATTTGGAATTTTACTATTAATTTTATGGTCCTTTCTTGGGAAAAATCTACCTGAGTGCCTTTTTAAATATAAAGACTGATTAAAATTATATTCTTTTAACTTGGTAACTTAAAAATCATAAAGGAGGATTATATTGGCCTGTATTCTATTTATGAATATTGTAAACAGAAATAATATGTTTTTGGATGATTATACATTACTGTTAATTTTTTTCTTTTTCATATTACAGGTTTTGCAAAAGACATCAAATTAAATCAAGTTCAAATATTCCCTGTGTCCCTAAAGACTTACTGATGATGTCTGAATTTGTTCTTCCAAGATTTATTTTTTGTCTTATTCAGTACTTAAGAGAAGGCTATAATGAACCAGGTATGTTTTAATCTACTTCTTGTTAGTACTCTTTTTAAATTCTAAATTTGCAAAGTTTTAGCATTAATGAGATGAATTTTTTTCAGATATCTTTTTTTGCTTAACATTTAAAAATAGGTGACTATAAAATACAGACTGAATAGAAACACGCTAAAAATAAATTATATAACCTTATAGATATGTTGTAGTAGACGTAGTTTGGTGCTTTCTGCTTCTGGGGTCATAAACGTTTTTGGTCAAACTTACTTGATTTTGCAGATCAGGAAGTAACCATTTTGTGGGGTTAAAGTGACTTTATTTGCAATATTAGGATAAAGCAGAATTGAGAACTCCTGGAAATGTTTGGATTTAACTTAGATTTTAGAAGATAAAATGCTTTATCAACTTTTTTTTAAGGGGTTTGTATTATATATTTATTCTCCATGTATATTATATAATAACTTATGATAGGGTCAAATTGCTCACTTTCAGATTGGGTGTGTGTAATCATGTTAGTATTTAAAAGAGAATTAAATTACAGATGTTCTTCTTACCTTTTAAGATTTAATCACAATCTTGATTAATATACTTCATTTAGTTAAATATTTGGATTTAGGTATCTATTAAAGTTCTCAGTCTGACGCTGTGAATTACAGATATTCATTAGTAGTATGAGTCAAATTTATTAACTTTTTGTTATGTCTTTTGCCTTTCTAATGATACCTGCATTTCTGTTCTATAAGAGACTACATTTTGCATTACTTTTAAAGGTTTAAAATTATTTAGTACTATAAATAACTTTATATTCATTTTGAAACTGTGGCACACATTTTCATCTTCTGTTGCTATCCTTAAAGTGTAGAGGAATGTTATATAATGTCCTCATTTCTTAAACTATCTTATCTTTATTGTGAGGAAACCATTATACTTCCATATTTGTACATTTTAAGCAAAAACATACAATCCTTTGTTAAGTACTTCTACTTAACAAGTAGAATATATATCTACTTGAATATATATATATCGAGAGTATATATCTTAAAATATAGAAAAATAAGCTGGGCATGGTGGTTCATACCTGTAATCCCAGCACTTTGAGGGGCTGCGGCAGGAGGATTGCTTGAAGACGGGAGTTTAAGACCAGCTGGGCAACATGGAGATCCTGTCCTTACAAACATTTTTACACTTGATCTTGGCCAAAAGGCCAAGAAGCGATTACAAACACTTTTAAAAGATAGCTGGGTGTGGTGGTAGCATGTGTCTGTAGTCCTAGCTACTGGGGAGGTTGAGGTAGGAGGATTCCTTGAGCTCAGAAGTTCAAGGCTGCCATGAGCTATGATTACATCACTGCACTCCAGTCTGGGTGACAGAATGAGATCTTGTGTCAAAAAAAAAAAAAAAAGGAATATATAGAGAAAAATATTATTTTGATTTGATTCCAGATTACTCTCTCTTTGGAATTAAGGAACCAGTTACTAGCTGGGTTATTGAAATTGCCTTCTGCATTATATCTCACATACTAGTTAGCAGACCTTTTTGGGAATTTACGTTTTGTATTACAGGCATTCTATTTTAGAAACAAATTATTTATTATGAGAACCTTAAAGCTTATCATTAGTTTAATCAAAGAATACTTCACACTAAAGTGTATTTTATATATATATATACATATATATATATATGTGTATATATATATGTGTATATATATGTATATATATATGTATGTGTATATATATATATACTGTATATGTATATGTATATTTGAGATGGAGTTTTGCTCTTGTAGCCCAGGCTGGAGTGCAGTGGCACAGTCTCAGCTCACTGCAACTTCCGGCTCCCAGGTTCAAGTGATTCTCCTGCCTCAACCTCCCGAGTAGTTGGAATTACAGGCATCTGCCACCACTCCTGGCTAATTTTTGGTATTTTTAGTAGAGATGGGATTTCACCATGTTGGCCAGGCTGGTCTCAAACTCCTGACCTCAGTTGATCCACCCACCTTGGCCTCCCAGAGTGCTGGGATTACAGGCGTGAACCACCGTGCCTGGCTTGTATAGTATTGTTGTTATTGATTTAACATTACAGTTATAAAAGGTAGACAACATAAGTATATAGCTTTATAATTATGTTATGATCTGAAAACATGAAGGAAAGAATGGAAACAGTTTTTATCTAAAGATGAACTGCATGAATGTAGGTTCATGAAAGTTTCTTCCTTATATTATTACTTCTGTTCAGCATTAATTGCTATCTGTGCAAAAAAAAAAAAAATTCTGCATTTTTGTATAGAGATTACTGTTTAAAATTAAAGAGCTTACGATAACCTAATCCAAGGCAATGAAAGTTCTAAGATCTTGAGGTTTCCCAATTTCTTTCAATTCTGTTTCTCATTCACCCTATAATCCTTAAATCTGTGTTAGAGCTTGTGTCAGAGCCCTGGAAAACCAAGAGTAAACATTAATTAAACATCTGCTATGTTACTATGTAAGTCACTGAGGAGAATATAAAGTTGAATAATAAATAGCATTAGCTTTACACTGAGAAAATAGGGTTTGAGATTCTGAATAAAT